TTTTTTTTTTTTTCAAATGAATCGCAATTTTGCAGACATAATGCATTATGCAAGGCGCAAAAAGCATGCTTTCAAGCAGAAAAATAGTAAAAAAGCATATAAGGAAGACATTCAATCTGTAATTGCAAAGTATGCTGAATTTGCAAAGGTATTATTTTTGTGAAATTAAATTTTCGCAATCTTTCCCAAGTTCTTAATTGCACATATGTGAGACGACATATATGAGTTTCAGGTAAATAAGGATACGCTGACATCGTTCTCACAGATGCCGTTATCAGAAGGAACTCAACGTGGTTTATTGGCTAGCAATTTCATAACACCAACTGATATTCAGCGCGAATCACTGCAATTTTCATTAACTGGTCTGGATGTAGTAGGAGCCGCTAAAACAGGCAGTGGTAAAACGCTTGCTCTGCTCATCCCAGTATGCTGTGCCCTATATTTATTTATTTTTAAAAACTTTATGTATTTTACATTGGTTTTGGACTTTTTTAGTCAGAACCAATTCAAATGGATTTCGGAAAGTACTATTATATATTTCAATCTTACTTAGATTTTTTTACTTTTTCCAGGTTTTGGAATGCTTATGGAGGCAGAGTTGGTCACATAAAACTGATGGACTCGGTGCATTAATTATTAGTCCTACAAGGGAGCTTGCTTTCCAAACTTTTCAAGTGTTAAACAAGATTGGAACTCACCATCAATTTTCGGCTGCTGTTCTCATAGGAGGTGTTTCAAATTTTTACTTTTCATTATTTATTTGCAACTCAGCAGCTTTATATATTGTTACGAACTATGTTGCAGTTTCTAAGTTTATCTCTGTTAAATATGAATTCAATATGTTAAATTTGAATTTCATATGTATCTATCTCATAACAACTGTCTTTACGTAATACTGTGTAAGTCTTTATTTCAGGATTCAGTTCAGTTACTTGTCGTAAAAATTCAACATTATAGCATTTTATAATTAGCTTTTCAGTCAATTTATTTTTTCTGTAGGGACCGATGTTGAGTTTGAAAGCAAACGAATTGGTTCAATAAATATTGTTGTGTGTACACCTGGCAGGCTTCTGCAGCATATGGATGAAAACAGCACTTTTTCATGTGAACAACTTCAAATTCTTGTTATTGATGAAGCGGACAGAATTTTGGATCTCGGTTTCGCAAAACAAGTAAAATTGTTTTTCTGAAAATAAAGATTCAGTGATGAATTCATGGTTTATCATTTTTGTCAATGTGCTTCTGGAAATTTGTGGTAGTTTACCAAATTCTTTACTGCAATTCGCATTGGGCCAGTTATATTCTTTCATTTACATACTAATAACGTTCAGTTCTTGTTCGTTCTTTCTTGCAAGTGTGATTGTTTTTTCCAAAATATTGAATTTTTTTTGCAGATGAATGCGATTTTGGAAAACTTACCTACTGAACGGCAAACGTTGTTATTTTCCGCGACACAAACTAAAAATGTGAACGACTTAGTTCGTTTAGCCTTGAAAAATCCTATATATGTGTCTGTTCACGAAAATGCTCCTCAAGCTACTCCAGAATCATTGCAACAAGTAAATTGCTACGCTTTCCAAATTTTATATTATGCTGTGTGAATTTATTGAACTACAAACATTGTTACTACAGCGTTTCTTACGTTTTATTTACACTTGTTTTTAAATGATAGAGGTTGACTTATGATAAATAACTGCTTCATTCACGTCCCTGAATTGCATTCAGTAATTGACAAAGTTTTTCAGAGTTACTTTACTTGCAAGGATGAAGATAAAATTAACATATTATGGTCGTTTTTGGTAAACCATCGAAAGAAAAAAACTTTGATATTTGTGTCGTGTTGCAAGCAGGTTGTTATAATTTTATTCACTTTAAAAATACATTTCTCATTAAAATTTGAGCAACCTATCGTTCAGGCTAGGTTTCTGACTGAGGCGTTTTGTCACTTACGTCCTGGTCTTTCGCTGATGGGTTTGTGGGGTACGATGAATCAAATGAAACGACTCGAAGTTTTTAAGAAGTTTAACGGCAAAACAGGAGGAATCGCACTTATTGCAACGGATGTGGCTAGCAGAGGATTGGACTTTGCTCGCGTTGATTGGGTGCTACAGCTGGATTGTCCTGTAGATGTTAATGATTATATTCATCGGTCATTTTAGCGCTTTTTATTCTTTTTTATTTGCTGTTGTTCAACTTTTTTTTGTGTGTTGCTATTCCTTTTGAGACAGTAAAAAGTACTATGTTGGTAACTTCAGAGTAGGGCGTACTGCTCGAATGGATGTTAAAGGTGAAGCAGTTTTGGTCCTTACACCTTCACAAGAGCAAGCAATGTTCACATTGCTGCGGTCAAGGAATATTCCAATCTCAAAAATTGAGTATGCTTTTTGAAAGTTTTCCAAGACCTCTTACACAATTATAGCTTCAGTATTCAAACACTCAATCATTAGAAAACAATGAAGTTGTTCATTAGTGAGCGACAGATAATTTTTATCAGCTTTTGGGGTATTTTTATTGTTTTCACATATCTATGTTCAATTGACAAATCAAAGAAATGTTACATACCTATTCTAGTGTCAGTGAAAAACGGATAACTGATATCAGTAGACGCTTACAGTCAGTGATAATTCAATATCCAGGCATGAAAGAGTTTGCTCAAAGGGTGTGTTTACCAACAATTTTAAATTGTTTCTAATGTTGCAGTCACTGATAAAAAAAGAACAAATCCTGAGTTACCTAAGTTTTAGCAATTTGTCTTTTTAAATTTGCAGAGTTTCGTCGCATATATTCGAACAATCTATCTAATGAAAAATAAAGATATTTTCAATGTTGATT